CGACGTATCAACACCCGTCGCCGTCGTACCAGAAGCCGGCGACGTACACGAAGCCGGCGACGTACCAAAAGCCGGCAACATACGCGAAGCCGGCGACGTACCAACAACCGTCGCCGTCGTACCAGAAGCCGGCGACATACACGCAGCCGTCGTACACGAAGGCGCCATCGACGTACACGCAACCGGCGACGTATACGCAGCCGTCGCCGTCGTACCAGAAGCCGGCGACGTATACGCAACCGTCGTACACGAAGGCGCCGTCGTCGTACCAAGAGCCGTCGCCGTCCTACCAGAAGCCAGCGACGTACACGCAACCGGCGACGTATACGCAGCCGTCGCCGACTTACCAAGAGCCGTCACCGTCGTACCAACAGCCGTCGTCGTACCAAGAGCCATCGTCGTACCAAAACCCGGCTTCCTTCATCCTTCTCTCGGACGAAGCCGAGGGCGACGTCTACGACGATATCAACGACGATGAGTTCGACAGCGGCAACGACGAAGATCCGGACTACATCGACAACTAAGCACGTAGTTGCCGCATTGCGTTGTGTGACACGAAAAATAAATGTTGCTTGTGACTTACACGCGTATCTCTTACAAAGACGACACGACTGAACCGAGCCGCGGCTGCCTCAATCATTCAGATCATTCAGTGTAAGGGTATGGTGTAGCTCGAAAGCTCGAAGTGTAACTAACTTTATTGTGCCGTGTAGCCAGCTGGATCCGGGACGGCGGATGCTCGTTCTCGAGTTTGCGAGTCTGGCGAGATGGGCCTCGCCACGTGCATCGTCACCAAATCGGCTTGCCATCGTCCAGACGCAACCTTAGCGTCGACGGTTACAAACGCGTGCACAGGTTGTCGATTGCGTGGGGCAATTGTTCGATCCAGCTCGACGATTGCTCGAATCGAAGCTCTCAACTTTTGCTCTGGAACAAGAACATTGTGCTACATCTTGCCCTTCTCTTGCTCGATGTCGAAGGTACACGCCCAAGGTGGTCGGCCGGTGGGGCAATAAAGTCCCTTGTCGAGTCACTTTTCAAGATGCTTCGTGGCGCTGCCGGGCTTGCGTTTGCGATGGGGGCCGCGACGGCCTCCTTCCGCAGCGGCACGTACATTTGTGATACGTGGAACGCGTGGAACTGCTTCCCGACCGTCCCAACGATCGTGCGCTGGAGCGACAACGGCATCGACGTCGAGTGCATGTCGACCGACGGCAAGACGTGTTTACCGACGACGACGCCCGACGCTTGCATCCAGCAGTAACGACAACCGCTGACGTACACCGTGTACGTCGGCAAACTCGCGGGGCACTTGATGATGGACGTGTACGGTACACGTCCAACGTCAAGTACCGCGCGAGTATGCCGAAAGACCATTCCTTCGATGAGTCCGCGGTAGTGACAGCGCCGCCAACGCGGCCGCCCTACGCTACGCTGGCGCCAACCACCAATGTGGCGAAAGCATCCACAGCGTCGCCGACTGTGGCCAAGCCGTCGATGCCGACGCCTTTCGTCCCCTAGGCTATAGACGCAAGTGCATGGGGGAGACGAACGGGGTTCATGTTGGGAGGTCGCCGCCGCCCAAGAAGGAACTGGTCGTGTATTGAAAGAGTTGTGAGTAGCTCAGAGGTCTCAAGCTTCGACGTGCAAATCATACATGGGCTTGGAGGGTTGATATTCAAGCTCGGCGGTTGCGCCTTGCTATAATGAGTGAGCTGGTAGAGCTGCCGCCATTTTGGCGGTTGTTCACGATGGCGCTTCTTGGCCTTGGTTCAAAAACCCAGCTTCACGCGTGCGGCGAGAAACTATCCCGTAAGGGACTCCCCGACCAGGCGCCGACGCGCCCAAGGCGACGCCTGCTATCCCAATCCGTCGACGTCAGTCGATTTCACCACATTGCGTCTGGCGTACGCAAGGGTGTGCATGGGTCCGGTACATAGTATCAATGGTATATGATAATTGTATTATATACACTTGATAGTACCGATAGCCTCCATAGAATACCTTCCAACAAAGTGCAAAATAATCGAGGTCGGCACGCAGGTCGAGGCGACTGTCGCAGCCGAGCCGCGAGATCTACGACGACGCTCTGTTAATCACGCGCCTCCCCAACCCGGAACCGGTGGTCGACCCGGAACTGGTGGTACGGCCGGTACCTCTGCCACGCGGAACATGAGGTACGACCAGTCCCTCTGACAACGGTTGCTTTTTAGATACCCTTGCCTCTCATTGGTCAAGCACTACGAACGGGCGACGGAAGAGTGCTTTGTCACTGCAAGTGCAATGGCCGCTCACGATGCCGTCGCCCAAAAATCCAGCAGCTGCTGCGCCTTGAGCGCGAGCGGCCTCGCGGCGTGGCTCACCGACGGCCAGCGCAGGCCCGTGCCCATGCGCACGTAGAACCGTGGTAAACCAAGAGCATTAAACGTGCACTCACTAATCTTCAAGGCGTCGTGTGCGTTTCAATCGATGGAACAAGTGGTGCCACCCCTCGCCGGACTTTCTACTCATATTTAACTCCCAAGAGGCGTCGCGGAAGCGCACTATATTCAAACCATTTCCCAATTGCCTCGGCAATACAAACATGAAGACAAGTACCGTGCTCTGCCTCATGGCGCTAGCTGCGTCGACGTCGGCGACGCTTCGTGGCGCCTCGTACATGCTCATCGAAGAGAACGATGCGCCTGTGTTCCTCGAGCAGTTTGAAGAGAACGATGCGCCCGTGTTCCTCGAGCAGTATGAAGAGAACGACGCGCCCGTGTTCCTCGAGCAATACGACGAGATCGAAGCTTACGAAGCCACGTACAAGCAGCCGTACAAGAAGCCCGCTGCGTCATACAGCAAGCCACCGACCAAGCCATGCGCGAAGTCGCAGCCGGCGACCTACCAACAACCGTCGCCGTCGTACCAGAAACCGGCGATGTACTCAAAGCCAGCGACGTACCAACAGCCGTCGCCGTCGTACCAGAAGCCCGCGACGTACACCAAGCCGGCGACCTACCAACAGCCGTCGCCGTCGTACCAGAAACCGGCGACGTACACCAAGCCGGCAACCTACCAACAGCCGTCGCCGTCGTACCAGAAACCGGCGACGTACACCAAGCCGGCAACCTACCAACAGCCGTCGCCGTCGTACCAGAAGCCGGCGACGTACACGAAGCCTGCGACGTACCAAGCGCCTTCGCCGTCGTACCAGAAGCCCGCCACGTACACGCCAGCGTCAACGTACCAAGAGCCGTTGCCGTCGTACACGAAACCGCCGTCGGCGTACCAAGAGCCATTGTCGTATCAAGAGCCATCGTCGTACCAAAAACCGGCTTCCTTCATCCTTCTCTTGGACGAACCCGAGGATACGGAAAACGTTTTCCTCGTGGATCGAGTGCCACAGCACGAAGACGATGGAAATGACGAAACGAGCGGCCTGGACGTTAAGGATCGGCGGCCGACGCACTTGTTGACGCCGTCGTCGGGCGGCGCATTCAACAGGAACTCGGGTGTGAAGACGTTCTTCTTGCGCTCCGTGCCGGAAGACGACGGTGACGACGACGTTGTCAACGACGATGAGTTCAACGGAGGCGGCGACGACGATCCGGACTATATCCTCCCGAATCCGTGGGAAGACATTGACAACTAAGCATATAGTTGCCGCATTGCGTTCTGTGAAACGAAGAATAAATGGTGCTTATGAACTTGGTTCACGTGAATCTTTTACAAAGACGACAGAACCGATGTGAGCGCCACCTGCATAAATCATTCTTGAGGGTTTGGTGTACCTTAAATGCTCGCACTACTAGATATATTAGTGGTTGTCAATGATGGTCGGCAGGTAGCGAGTTTTCCAGGTAGACTTTTTTGCGCGATCTGATTGACCAAAATTGGGTCAATTTCTGTCGCCGTGGCTGAAAATCGACCTGCCAAACTACCTGTACCTGTCGGCTCACCTGCGCAAAAGTCGTACAGGTAGACCGACTGATACAGGTAGTTTGACAATTCTGCGTTTTCCAGCATTTCCGCAAGCGAAACTAACCGACGAGTGGCCGCGTCCTCAGAGGCGCAGCCGTCGGTCATCCAGGCCGCGGCAGAAGGAGGCCTCGTCAGTCGACGTCTTCGCCTGCTGCGAGCCGCGCCATCAGACCAAACGACGCTGAGCGACGAGGAACTCATCGCCACGCTGCATAAGACGACGTATCCAAGAAAGACGACGACATGCTCCAGCCAGCTAACAACAAAAACAACGGTCAGGGGACCACAACGAACATCAGATCCAACACAGAACCAACATGAGCAAAGTGCAAAGAGCAGAGAGCACAGACCACTATATTGTGCTGGATCCGGGACGTCGACACGGTGCCTTGGAACTTCTGATTGACTAACGGCGGATGCTCGTTCTCGAGCTTGCGAGTCTAGCGAGATGGTCCTCGCCACGTGCATCGTCACCAAATCGACTCGCCATCGTCCAGACGCAACCTTTTTCTCGTTTGGATCAAGTCAGCGTCGACGGTTACAAACGCGTGTACTGGTTGTCGATCGTGAGGGGCAATTGTTCGATCCAGCTCGACGATTTCTCGAATCGAAGCGATCAATTTTTGCTCTGGGTGAAGTACATTGTGCTGCATCTGGTTGCAGAAATGCGTTCTTACATGCAATTATAAAGATATGGTGGCCTTCCTAATGCGCGTGTGAGGCGTGGCCGGTGCGTCAGCGAGGAGCGTTAGTGGTCGTGATGCGAGATTGTGCGAGGGACCAGGTAGCGTGCACACCAAGGGTCTTCGTGTAGAGCGACCAGCGACGCGTCAAGAGATGACACCACAGCACGGCGAGCCAAGTGTCGGACATGCAGTCGTGTGATAGTACCGCCTCGTTGGCGTGCAGCGACGTGTAACACGCATGCAGCGCGTCTTCAATGCCACGCTGAGACGTGTGCCGATGTCCTGTCGCGTCGCGCTCGGCTTGGATGGTCTGGCGGTGGAGCGGGCGTGGTGTCGGAGGGCACACGTGCAGATGCGCACAGCGAGACGATTCGGCCAGGTACGCGTGCAGCCGTGCGTCCGGGCGAAAGGCGCTGGTCACGGTATGATACAGGGCGCGGTTGTACTGGACGAGTTGTTCGAGCTCGGCCGTTCGATAGCGGCCGAGATCGTACAGCGACTGGGCAGAGCGACGTTCCAGTTCATCGCGTTCGGCGCGTTCTTCAGCGACCCGTAAGGCGTGCAGCAGACAGAGTTGGTGCCGGGGCGAGAGAATCTTTGTCGTAGTGCCGAGCAAGATCCTCGTTTAAAGTTGCCGTCGCAAGGAACTCGTCAAGGTGTGCGTGGATTGTGGCGACAACTTCAGAGTTGTCAAGAAGCCATGGTGGCATCTTCCAAGGGCCTTTTCCGACTGGTCTTGTGGCGGCGACTCAAGCGACGACAGCAGCGTGGTTCGATTTGGTGGTACCGAAGATATGACGAGCTACAACGTGCGGCGCGTCGATAAGTGGATGCGAGACGAAGATGTAGTCGCTACGCGTCTTGGTGGTTGGACTGGTGTACGAGCAGAGTGACGGGTTTACATGTAGGAAAATGTCAACCACGGCGAGCGCGTTCAGCCAGCTGATGAGTTTGCTACGGCTGCGACGAGTTGTTGCAGACGGGTTGGAGACGTCAAGAGTGCCGCTTAGCGCAGCATTGAAATCTCCGCCAATATATATGATGTGCAGCGCGTCATCGGCAAAGTCACGCGGCAGCGCATCAAAAAGGCTGGTCATGCTGCGGGCTCGGTGGGCGCATATATCGTACGTTGTGCGAATAGACGGTGCGATGGTCAAGACCACCACAAACGAGAAGATAGCGATTGACGAGAGGAGGTGCGTCATGACCATCGACTACGTGGAGGTCGTGAAGTGCGCTCGTCGGATGTACCATCTAGCGACGCCACGGCACGCCAGACCGGTTGGCGTCAACGGGAAGCGAGGAGGGCAGCAGAACCAGCGTCCGTCGCCATTCGTCCTTTCAGACCAGGCTTTGGCCGCAGAGTCCTGCTTGAAGACGATGGGAAAACGCATTTCTTGGTGGAAGGCGGTGTCGTGCGAGAGCGAGAATGTGTTGAGAATGTACGAGACCTTGTTTGTCATGTTGTTGTTGTTGAGCGCGCTAAAAGACAAAGTCGGGAGCGAGGACGGTGCGGTGTTGGCCAGGTTGTTGGCGGCCTGTGGACGCCGGGCCGCAGCAGCTGCGGCCACCTTAGTAACGTCCTGTAGGCAGCACCAACTCGTGTGAATGCTGGTCACACCTGGCGTCAGCCGACTGGACGATGGCGAGCTGGGAGTCTGCTTGCCGGCGGTGATGTTCCTGCAAGTGGACATGCTCCTTGAAGTACTTCTGGATGTCCTGGCACTGGAGCAGCTGCGCGAGCGTCTAGTCCGTGAGCATGTCCTGGCGAAGCCGCGTCGGTGCCGCGTTGATGAAATGGCCGATGGCAGCGTCGTCGTAGTAGAGGTCTGGAGAGCATCAAGAGGGCGAGGTCGAAGTCGGCGAGTGCGAGACGCGCTTCGTACCCGATCAAGGTGGTCGGCCAGTGGGGCAGTAAAGTCCCTTGTCGGGTCACTTTTCAAGATGCTTCGTGGCGCCGCCGGCTTGCGTTTGCGATGGGGGCCGCGACGGCCTCCTTCCGCAGCGGCACGTACATTTGTGATACGTGGAACGCGTGGAACTGCTATCCGAGCGTCCAGACGCCTGTATCCGGCTCAAGCGACAACCGCCGACGTACACGTCCAACATCAAGTGCCCCGCGAGTTTGCCGAAAGACCATTCCTTCGACTGGTGCACTGCCGCGAAAGCCCATCTCAAGCACCTCGACGAGTCCGCGGTAGTGACAGCGCCGCCAACGCGGCCGCCCTACGCTACGCTGGCGCCGACCACCAATGCACCGAAAGCATCTACCGCATCGACGTACGCGACAACGACTGGGCCCAAGCCGTCGACACCGACGTCGTACGGGACTCCCCGACCAGGCGCCGACGCGCCCAAGGCGACGACTGCTATCCCAATCCGTCGACGTCAGTCGATTTCACCACATTGCGCCTGGCGTACGCAAGGGTGTGCATGGGTCCGGTATATAGTACCAAGGGTATATAATAAATGTATTATATACCCTTGATAGTACCGATAGCCTCCATAGAATACCATCTCCGTGTCAATCAATCAAACGTGTTCGCGTTGAAATCAAATTACCGTAGTTAGCTTGATATAGTCCACTGCTTGATATAATCCACACCTGTATTTGTTTATATTTTGGTGTCATTTGTTATTGTGAGGTACCTGTATTTTCTAATTATTTGTCAAAATCAATGCTAGCTAGGTCGCTGCCATATATTAAATCTAGCAGTAGTGTAGCGACCCTCTTGTAGTCCATTGATTTTCAGGTTCGATGGATCCGACTGCCGACCACAGCAGTCGACCCCGCGGCACCGCAGGGCGTCGGTGCTGGACTTGTGGGCCGTCCAAAAAACAAGGGTGTGGGACGCGTTGAAGGACGTCAAGGACAGGATTTGCGTCGCCCAGTGCGCCAAGAGGCATGTCGTGGCGGCTACGCGGAGCAACTTCGTCGATCGTGGCTCGATACCGGTGCCAACCAACGATGAGTGCGCCAGCGACGCTGCCTCGTCGTCAGTGGACTACACGTACGACCCACTGGAAGTAACCGATGAGGTACAAGATCACGGGCTCTTGGAAGCCGTTATCGACGAGGCAAGCGATGCGGTCACCGCTTTCGTGTTCACCGGTGTAGTCGAGCGAGGGGACGATAACGGTACCGATAGCAGCAGCGATAACAGCGAGCGACGACTGCATGTTAGAAGACGGGACGTTTTCGCTTTATAAGCACGCACCCGCATTTTGAATAACACCGTCAAACTCTATTTTTACCTGTCAAACTATATATTTAGAACTATATGAAAGTTTGTATAGGGTATTTTTGAATGTCCAAGTCGCGCTATGTGCCGTTTTTATGCGACCCAAGCCCAAACATGGGTGTGGACTATATCAAGCAAACTACGGTAGCAAAAACTAACTCAAAGACTTCGCATACGTAGTGCTACGCCTGAATGCGTGCGAGTTGGCACCAGAACTTGGTCGTTGGGAGTGAGCTGCGCACGGAGAGATCCATCCCGTGGTGGACCCCACTCGCCGAGGGTTAGCTCGCGCGAGGTCGTACGCAGGCTTCTGTACTCGGACCACCCGACAGAGGAGTGCAAGCCGTCGCGTGTGTTTCAAACGAAACCGTCCGAGCCCGAATAAATACGACTGGTGGCGGCGGCGGAGGGCCGGGAGGTGTTGGACCTTCGTGGAGGCACGGCGACCGCGCCCACGGGGCGAAAGCGCGGAAGGGCCAGCGACGTCTCCCCTAAATTCTTTTCCTTCGGGAATTGAACCCGCACCAGGGCCTTTCTTGCGGGTGCGCGCAACGGTAACCGCTACGCCACGACGCCGTAACCATCTCCGTGTCAAGTGCAAAATAATCGAGGCCGTCGCACAGGTCGAGGCGACTGTCGCAGCCGAGCCGCGAGATCTACGACAACGCTCTGTTAATCACGCGCCTCCCCAACCCGGAACCGGTGGTCGACCCGG